CACAACATACACAAATACACAGGAATTGTTAAAAATATGTCTACATATGCACAATACATGGTAAACGAAGAACACACAAATGAAATGTAAAGATCTATATGTCAGATATTTACATAGTATTTACAAGGTATTTGTATGAGTACTAAACAAAGATTAACCAACCAATACCAGGCAGGCCGGAAAACAAGCCTTACGACGAACACAAAACGGCAGGACCAGTGTCGAAGGAATTCCTCCTCAACCAGAAAGAAGAGTTCTTCCGACAAAACAGATAGTATTTCTTTGTACAGTCGCTCCAAAATCGGGAAGAGAGCACGGCGGCGACGACCTGCTGCAACAGCCTCACAAGGGTTACGCCAAAGACAGTAGGCACCAGCAACAATGAGAAGGCAGGCAAAGCGGCCTCGAGAACAACGTCCAGAAGAAACAAAGCGGTTTACTCCGAGGCCATGAAATCCTGTATGCACAGCCCTCCAGAAGACACGAGCAACGGCGCATTGTCTTAAAGCATGCTGATTTGTTTCCCGTAGGGAGTAGTTCAGACATGTTGGTGACTGGACCATTCTCCACCTTTCTAGGCGGTCAAGGGTAGGAAGAACGCCTCACCCCAGCCGCCACATGAAGTCCCGGAGGTGGCCAGGTAGAAATGATGCCGTCAGCGTGCTTAAAGACATATGACTAGAGCTGGTGTGGCGTGCCGGAGGAACTAACGGGAGCAACAAAGCGGCTGTTATGTCAACGATAGGATTGTCTGACACATCTAACTCAGGGCAAGCCGAATGGATATGACGAAAAAACGCGACAGCTGTTGCATAAAACGAAGGAAGTACCACTGATTGTGGGCCCCGATTAAGGTGCACATTAGGCAATAAATACCGAAGGTGAGTGCCTAGAAAATAATATGTGAGAGTTCGGGCGGGGGATTCCTCTCCTTGTACGAGGCGCAACAGGAAGTGCAGGGCTAATAGCCGGCAGCGTATTGATACCGAAGGGGAAGCAAAACCTCCCTGGGAACACTGCTGTCCTAAAACCGCACGAGAATCCAACTCAGTGCCACCGGACCAAAAGAAGGAACACAAGGCAGACTGCAATGACCTCACGATGCGTAAAGGCGGCTGTTCCACGTGAGAAAGGTACCAAATGCGACCACAGAACACAATTTGCGCAAGGTACCGCTCAAGAAGCGGAAAGTCAAAATCCCGGGCGTTCTCAATTTTTTGTTTTACTTCATCGAGGGCGTTTGACCAAACGGTGTTACAAACGCCGTAGTGGTTGTATAGAATTCCTAAAATGCGAAGAGACGCAGCCGGCTGAAGAATAGATGTGGAGCTAATTCTGGAGTTAGGATAGCCGATGAACAAATACCGGGACTTAGAGAGGTTTAGCGCGGCACCTGAAATGTCACCAAACTGGAAGAATAAACGCAGGCTGTGTGAAAGACTATCTTCATCTGAAAGGTACAGGGTTATGTCGTCAGCAAAAGCTGTGACTTTCACGGTACTGCTGCCGGGAAGCGCAAGACCCCGGACATGCGAATCCGCTTCTAGAGCACACTAAAATGGCTCAAGGCTGAGGACAAATACAACAGGAGACAAGGGGCGTCCTTGACGGACCCCACGTGTAATAAAAAAGGCGGCACTCTCCCAACCATCTAGAACTAGTGTGCTTTTTATACCAGAGTAGGTATGTCTAATTATGTCAACAAAAGTACCAGGAAAACCAAGGACTGTGAGCACTTTAAAGATACACGTGTGCTCTAGTTGGTCAAATGCTTTCTCTTGGTCCAAAGACACAAGAAGACCACGCGCAGATCGCGACAGAGTATAGGCTATGATATCCCGGGAGGTAAAGGACAAGCTGTGTATTTCTCGTCCAGGCTTATATGAAGCCTGGTGATGACCCACCAGGGTGTTCAATAGAGCCTTCAAACGTTGAACGATCACCGTCGCGAATATCTTAGGCCCCAACTCCACGCACGCGTTCGCGCGCGAGATTCTACGCGCTGGCGCGCTCATGCGTTTGGGGCGCCTGTGAAAGGGGAGGGCGAGCAACCACATGAGAGGCGCGCGAACGCTCACCGCCCCGCGCTCGACTTGCGCAGCCCAATGTCGCTAGACCACACTGGCCAGAACTGCCTGACTACAGACACACATGCGCACTACTAACAGGCCGCAAAATAGTTACTAAAACGCATAAAAGCATTTCTTTTTCATTTTCAGACGCCGAAAAAACTGTTTCTTGTCGACGCGAACTATCGACACGACTTGACACACACACACAGCAGCCGAGCCTAGCCACGAGCCGAGCATCCGAGCCAAGTCGGCGGTTTTGTTTACTCGGTAGCGCAGTGTTTCGACATCGCCTCCTCTGGTTTTGCTTACCGCTCTTTTCAAGCCCGCTTCCGTTTATCCTGCTTCATCGAGGGAAAATGGTCGCAACGCTGACTCGAAGCCATCTGTTCCTGCTAGCTACGCGAGTAGCGAAGGCAACGAGAGCACCATTGCTGGGTGCGGCCTGTCTTCTTGGCGCGAAAACAGGAAGGCCTGTACCACACAGCCGTGAGTATCGTGTTGCTATTTCGCAGTGCATTATTGCTTAGTCCTATTATTGTAGGCATGGTTAGCTGAGTTGGTTAGTCATAACGGGAATTTTTGTTTGTGTTTTCTGAAAGCTGGGTAGCGTCATGACCAACGGTGGGGTGCACACGTTGTAAGCGCTCGCTTCTCGTCTGTTGTCGGCGCTTTGTTTGCGCGAGCGAAGCATTCCGCCGCCTTGTAACCCGCAGCTAGCGTGTTCCTTTTTGCGCAAAAGAAATTAAACAATGTGTGCCGCGCTAAGAAAACGTTTAATGCGCTTGGTATAAATTAAAATAAAATTCCAGAGTGCTCTAGATGCCCCATTTTATTCACCAGATTTTGTAGCTGCGACATGAGCTAGCTCCCTTGAAGATAGTACCTGTGCATCTTGTAAATGCATGATAAATTATCTACCCTTTTCATAGCCCGTTGGAGCTGGCTTACCCGGTGTACAAGTAACTAAAATGGTTGTGTCCATCTTCAACAGTACACTTTCTTTCTCCGTATAGATGCGTCGAATATGGGAAGGCGACCAGCAGTTTTTTTTTTACGTTTTACCGCACGTCACCCGCGCTGTTCGACAAGTTGCTGGGCTTTGTTGCTGCGGACTTGACACGGCAGCACTTCATACGAGAGCCCCTGGAGCCAGGCGAAAGGCTTGCAATAACCTTGAGGTTGGTACAGGTTGCCTTCTGATGCTGATGCAAGAACATAAACATGTCAGTGAACAGATCATAGATGCATACGTCAGCTTATACAAATGGCTTTTGCATTGTGAAATGGCGAAATGGGCGTTGCAATCATTCATGCTTTCTCACATTGGCCAAGTCTTCAAACTTTTTTAATATAGATGCCCCTTCGTGTCAGAAAGCAATATTGCCATTTGCTTGTTACCTAAAGAGGCAATCCTGTTCAGAGTTTGCATGTTGTCAAACACTTTTGTTGCAGTTGTGCTGGCCATGTATTGTGAATCGGAGGAGAAATTACTTTTTCTGTGTTGCAGCTACCTGGCTTCAGGGCTGGACATCTGCAACGTGGCCCTCGCCTACCGTGTCGGCATTGAAACTGCCCGGAGAAGCATTCACGTGACCTGTAGAGCCATTTGGGCTCGTCTGAAGGACCACTTTATGAAGGTGGGTAACCCCAGCAATTGCCTAAGGCAATTGTGATTAGCAAATACAATATATCCCTATGGGCTTTGAAAGCCTGGTTAACTATGTCTATTTGATTACTGTGGTTTTCAAAATGCAGTAATCACACCTTTGTGTTGTCGAAATAAAAAATGGGGTGGTAAAATGCACTGCGTTGACCGTGTACAACTGGGCAACAAAAGTGACACCATGCCTTCAGCATGATTGGAAGCTTACACCTTGTACAAAATTTGGTTCACCATGCCGTGGATCCATGCCCAAAGAGCATGCACAAGAGAAAAGGGAATGTCATTTTTTCACATTCCACCTCACAAAGATATTTAGCTAAAAATAGGTCTGTTCGGCCTACAAGTTTGTTCCTGGTTTCCAATTTATTCCAGGTACCAACCAAGGCTGACTGGGCCAAGATTGCTGGCGACTTCACCCGGCGTTGGCAGTTCCCAAACTGTTTGGGGGCTGTTGACGGGAAGCACGTCGCCATCACCTGCCCGCCGAAATCTGGAAGTGCCTTTTTCAATTACAAGGTAAGTCACTCTGGCCATTTATGCACGTATACTGAAACGAACAGCATTAATGCGGGATGGGTAGTGTGCCCTTGTCTGCTGGAGAATGTGTGGTGGCAACATACACAGCCAATGTGCACCACCCATTTGTAGGGGTGCGGTGCCAGTAGCGTAACTGTGACAATTAAAAAAGAAATGTTGCTATGTGCAGTGGTATAAAAAGTTGTCTTAGTTATTTTCATTTCAGTAAGCTTCCAAACTCTGTAATGCAGGAAGTTGCCTAAAATTCTTCACCCCTTTCTTAAATTACCTTCTAATTTAAAATGCTTCGACAACGTCCAGAGCCTTGCCCTGCAATGCTATACTTTTTTTTCTTATGTACCACTTTTGAATGGTGCACATGGGCTCCAGAAAGCAGGGGAGAGAGGGAGACAGAGAAGGGGACTGAGCTCGCAGTTTGCCAAAACGAAGGAATACAGCCCCGTGGTCTAAGTCGTTTTGCCAGAATACTTCATGTATGCAGTATTCTTCCAGTGCTGCGGCAGGTACTTATGACAGCTTGATTTGATGTTTACTTTGAAATTTAATTTCAACAGAGGTGTTTTTCAGAGCCCTTACGGCTAAATTAAACTATCACTGTGCATGCCAGAAATCTTTCACAATGAGCTGGTACAAATAAATGCGTGGCCAGCATAGGTGATTTTGTAAATTTTGTCATACTTTTTCTTTGTAATCGCTTATTATTGTAGGTCCCACCTACACATACAACTTTACATGTGCTAATGTTTGGTCTGACGCCTACTGCTGCAGGGTACTTTCTCCATTGTGCTGATGGCCGTGGTCGACAGCTCTTCGAAGTTCGTGCTGGTCGATATTGAGGCAGAGGGCCGCCAGAGTGACGGCGGAGTGTTCAAGAACACGAAGTTTGGGAAGGCCCTAACCAAAGGGCAGCTTGACATCCCCTCACTGGGGCAGCTCCCAGGCACCACAAAGGTGGCGCCGTACGCTTTCGTCGGGGATGAAGCGTTCCAGCTGCGGCGCGACTTTATGCGCCCTTTCCCTGCTAGACTCCTTGAAGATGAACGAAGAGTGTTCAATTACAGACTAAGCCGAGCACGGTATGATATCAGGCACTTTCTTTGGGTATGCTGAGCCTGCCATGCTCAATTTTATACAAACACAGAAAGCACTTGAAATAACGTTTAATGCACACTTCGCAGCAAGACATCGATGAAGAAAAATAAAACAATGAACACAAAATACATAGCTTAAAAACAGTGGCTCTAATTTCACAATATAGTGCATATAGTCAACCCCGCAGCTCAAGAACAGTGGCTCTAACTTGCGGACAAAGCAGCTGAACGAAAACAGTTCAGAGGAAAAACATCTAAAAACAGAAGGGGCACATAAAAAGCTCACCACACTTAGTACAAACCATCATTATGACAAAACGATCTCGCAAGCACAAGTCAAATTGAGGTGTGCACCGTGCACAATGTTTGTGACCCCATCTCAATAACAAGTGTCCTTTACCCAGCTCAGAAAAATAGGGCATGCGTAGCAGCTTGTGCGACTTGTGATTAACCTTACATTACAAACATAAATGCTGATTTGAATTAGCTGTTCACGTTGCTTCTCTAGAAGGCCGTACAGAAATAAGCGCAAAAGATTTCTTTATGTACAATTAATGAGCATAGGGCTTTTATTCTAAAAAAACGCGAGCTTATGAGCACTGTGCCCATTTTACGTTGCCATTCTTGTAGCTGCAGTTTTAAAGAATAGTCTAATGAATCGGCTTTGAAAGGTGGCTGCTTCTAAAACCTGTTTTGTACTATTATTTCCTTTTACCAGGAGGTGTGCTGAAAACGCCTTCGGCATCACAGCGGCCAGGTGGCGCATACTGCTCCGCACCATTCAGCTTCTCCCAAGAATCTGGATTATGTAGTGAAGGCAGCATGTGTACTGCATAATTTCTTAGCGGTCCTAAATGAGGAATCGGACCAGATCCTCGACCAAGAGGACAGGTTCGGAAATGTGGTTCCAGGACGGTGGAGGCAGGGCATCCAGCAGACGTCGGGGCAGAGGCATGTGGACCCCTGCTATTTCCCGCTTCAGGGATCCCAGTCACGGAACTTCAGTGCAGATGCTGCGGATGCCAGGACGCTTTTCTCGGCCTACTTTTGCAGCAGCGCTGGAGAGGTACCGTGGCAGTGGCACCAGCCCGGAGTCTCCAAACAAGGGGCCCTGAAGCGCTTGGAAGAGCAGGGGCTGCACCCATTTTGCTGAAGGTAAACTTCTCCTTTAATAGCAAAGACACCCTGAATCATGTTTAGCCATGTAATGTTGGCCCACTCATACTGCACCAAGCCTCATATTGCAACATGCCTCATTTTCTATGCCCACGCTTTGTCAGCTCTAAGGACAAGAAGCACCACACTTCAGCTACTGTTAAATTGCTGGATCACTTCCAGAATCTTCATGCGCATGCGCAAGTGGTCTTCCTCTTTTACTTTTCTCATTGATTTCACGAGCGACAATGCAAAATAATGATGGTCGTCCTGGTCCTCTAGACTGTTTGTAAGTTTTCCAAGGTGCTCTACAAGTAAACTGTCATTGTCGTCTTTCTTTTGTCTTTTTTTGGGTGGCTGCATCACAGACATGCTGGCAAGGCTGGACCCCTGGCTTTCCAGTGACGTTGCCGCCAACCCAAGCGGTGACGCAGTTCCCAGCGGTGATGGTGCCGACTCACTTGACTGCGTCGCTTCAAGGGATGACATTCCTGGTTCCAGTAGCGACGGACTACACTCAACTGACACCGCCGGCGCTGGATAGAGATTGGCGGGGTCATCAGTCTGATCTATCTCGATGGTGTCAAACTGGCTCGGACACATGTCTCTAAAAAGGGTTTCCGGGGTCTCCTGCCGTGCCACCTGTCGAACATCCTCCTTCCTTTGCCTCCTCTGGGACTCGAAATTTCCAGAAGTCCTGCACAGCAAAAATGAAGGTGTATGTATTAGGGTATAGGTGTGTAAAAAAGTGTCAATGTTTGCCCTGAAAGATGGCAAAATATTCCCACTGTTAATAAATGTATGCTTCTTACAACCATAGTTTGTGTACTAGCACACTCATTGCTGCATTGTTTTATACAGAATGCCTCATGGATCTCGCATGCCATTCTGAGTTCCTTTTTTAACTTGCGGCTGCCGGCAGACCCTTTCAGCAAGTTAGTGTGTTTACACAGGCGATCGTTAATGCAATGTCAAACATGCCAACATTCCCATTGTTAATAAATGCATGCTTGTTACACTACAGCATAGTGTGTGCGAACACTACAATTGTTTTGTTTTTCATTATAAGGGGGGAGAGGGAAAGTAGATTTCTTTGTCCAGTTTAGTAGGGCTAGCCTTCCATCCTAGGCATCAGCCAGGTGCCTTTGGGTCCTAGCAGAGTCTTCGGCTAACTGAATGTCCCAGAGCTGATCTGCCGGATCTGAGCTGAGGAGCAGTCTCCCACTGCTCATCACTAACAATGATGTGGTTCTAAGAGATAGCTCGAAGCAATTCCAATAATGTATGTGCAAGATCTGCCCCCTGTTTGAATCCTGTACAGCTGTCTGAAAGATGTCCAGCATAATGACTGTATGCAACAGGGTTTGGGCACCTTTGGCACCACTTGTACATCTGAGTAGTGTAGAATTTCTATATGCTTCCAAGAACTGCAAGGGAATCACTTCTGCATCTGGACAAAACTGCTTCTCTAATGAGCGGCCCCACCAATCACTGTGAGCAATAAAATGCTCACTTTTGTTGGCTTCAGCGTGACATAATCAAGCAAGTTTTAATTACTGTAGGTTTCCACTTTTAGAGCATCCCTAGTTTAAACCTCGCATTACACCGCACGTTACAGATGCGGTTTTGGTACTGTTGCAAGCAATTTTTAGCTTTCAATAATCAAGACTATTCTGGTGCGGGAACGCGGGGCACGGCGCAAAAGTATGCACATTGGGTGTGTACAGGACAGAAATACACATACGCAAGAAGCACTCTTTGTGCGTTCTTTACCTTTACTCGTCGCGTTTCGTGTAAAATTTTGTGGCGTATTAGCAACTTTCGCCAGCATTCCCGAAAGCGGCAAGGCTCACAATCACAAGCTACTTTATTCAACGCGGAAAATACGCGAGCTTTTCTCTTTCGCTAGTTCGTAATGCCAATAAAAGCGTCAATAAACTTACTCTCGGAAAAGGGCCACGAAGCCGGCTGCACTGGACTGTCGGCAGGCGGGTTCCCTTCATCGCCCTCATCTTCGGTGTCGGAGTCGGCGTCTTCCGTGCCCATGCCGCTTTTCTTTTTTTTCTGGGCTAGCACGAACAGCCTTCGGAACTTGTCCCGCAAAAACTTCCAGCGCTTTTGCAGCGCAGTGATGCACTCTGCGTAGACGAAATGAAATATCAGCCACTGCTTTCAACGCAACCTGTCAAGCCGGCGAAAACGCGCCATACGTACCTTTGCTAGCCTTCCCCGGATACATTATTTGACCCACTTCTTTCCACAGGGCATCTTTGACTTGCCGATTCTTGTGGTCCTTGTGCGTGGCCAGCCACAAAGACGTCCGGCTGGCCACACAAGAGATTAGGTTTTCGTTATCGACCGCCATCGCCGACAACTTGCAGAGGGCGGCCATTGCGGCTAAGAGACAGGAGGAGCGGAAGCCCGCGGCAGCGGCGTTTGATTGGCTGCTGCCGAGGGAGCAACTTCCGGCGCGTGTAAAAATATCTGGCATAGCCAGATCTTTCCGAACGCGCGCGCTTCGCCTGGCGCACCGTCTCCGGCCGTCACGTGGTAGCGCATAGGCGCGTGAGCGCGTGGAATCTCGCGCGCAAACGCGTGCGTGGAGTTGGGGCTTTATAGTCTACGTTAAGACGCGTGATAGGTCTCCAATCTTCAGGAATAACAGAGGAAGCATCACCTTTTGGAATAAGCACAATGAGTCCATCTCGAATACTTGATGGAAAGACACCATCCTCGAAACATCGCAGGATAACCGCGGTTAAGGCAGTACCAAGCTCATTCAACTTCAACTTCAACTTCAACTTCAAAATTCAACTGGAAAACCGTCTGGCCCAGGGGCTGTCCCCCGTTTCATAGATTTTAGTGCTGCCTTTACCTCTTCGACTGATGGAGGGACGTGCAGAGAATCAGCAGCTTGTTGAGCAAAGCGAGGCAAACCTCTAAGCATAGGCGGTATTATATCACAGTTTGTCCGCATGGCTGAACATGACATCTCTTCAAAATGCGACAGAAAGAGAGATCGATCACGCGTAGGAAGCGGCTGTGTAGGTGGTGTCTGCGTGGTCGTAAAAACAGGTGATTGTGACTGCCCAAAACACGTTTACCTCTCTTAGCGTAGCACCTCGGGGTGGGAACAAGGGTTGTTCCTACAATGCCATGCAACCGCCTCCAGAGACAAGGCGGCAATCAAACGCTGGAAGCGTTCACGTAATTCATGTTACCAAGATCGCATCAGGGGAGACGGCATTTCAGCGCGCAAGGCGATGCGTAACTTTGCTGCAGTATCGGCCAGCTCCTCAGAAACGCGACGACGAAGTGAACGCCCTTCAACTGAGCAGTGCAGGCACCACTGCGTTTTAAGCGCATCGCAATCAAATGAATCAGACGCAGCGAGTGACACGCGTATTGCATGGGACAATTTTGAAAGAGAGCACGCGTCCTGGAGGACGCGAACATCATGACGCCATGGTTTCTCCGAAAAAGAAAATGGAATTTTTAGTTCTAAGAGAATCGGACGATGGTCAGAGATGTACACCGGCGAAGGTGGGATGGGCGGAACACGTAAATCGGAGACAAACGTCTCTAAAGCATGCGGAATATAAGCTCGGTCGAGCCTGCTGGAGGAGTGTCCGCGGCGCCATGTCCAAACAAAAGTATTCCCGTGCATGACATTATGCGCATCCAGCAATGAAAATGCTGGACAAGGTGTCGCAGCCCACGTGAATACCAAGCAGACCAACCCTAGCCGGGACCTTGTACGTCGCATCGCGTATTTAGCAGACAGTTAAAGTCTCCAATTAGAATTACATGATGACCGTCTAGGAAAAAACGTACGAATTTCGAAAAAAATCATTAGACTGTCCGGTTTGTGTAGGCGCATACCCACATAGTATCCTAATTCGAAAAGAAAAGTAGGTACAATATATAGGGCCATAATTCTACCGACACCGTCATAAACAACGTGGTGACCTCTCAATAAAGCCCGATTAAATATAATATTGCCTACTCCCGTAAAATGAGTTGTAGCGAAAGAAAAATAACAATATAAGTTAAACTTTTTTTAAAAGCCCTAACGTCGGATAGTGAAAAAAAATTAGTTTCCTGCAGGCACAAAACATCAATATTTGCAGCACGTGCTACACTAATCACCTCGGCCTGCTTGCCCGGACTGCGAAAACCTTTTATGTTGAAGGAAATGATATTCAATGCGGTAGCCATCGTAAACAATAAAGACAAAGTTGGATACTAGACTCACAGTTCTGACAGACGCGGGAGCGGGTGCCCAGCAAGCAGCTCAATCACTTCTTATGACCAGGCGACCCACACGGGGCCGCATCAAAGTCCTCAGGGGACTTCTGTCTCTGCTGGAGGCCTCCGAGTCGCTGCTGGATATTCGGTGGCGCTTGGTGCCGAGGCTCTTGAGTGAAGATGGCACAAATTCGTCAAAACTGTCCCGGCTGATCTCGCTTGGAGTGCTGTCGGTGTCTATCTGCAGGGCCGTGTCACTCCTAGTACTGCTCGGGTCCCCGTTGATGGAAACCTCGTCACCTTGGGACTAAGTCTCTCCAGTAATAGAAGGACTAAAAGAAGACTGGGCAGCCATGGGGTGAGCATCAGATATGCCGTCATCATCTGTGACGCGTTCACCGAGAGACGCCTCCTCTGGCGAGGGCTCGACCTGTGGTTCTGTGAGAACCACCACTGGTCACGGGGCGCTAGATAGATTATCCGCACCTTGAGGGGTTGCCTGGTCGGGGCTGGCCATGGAGACGCTGCGGGCGTTTGGTGTTGCGGTCTGGTGTGGCGTTGTGATGCACCCAACTTTGTCCTGGCAAATATCCGGGTGGCCGGTAATCCGATTGGCGCGTTTTGTACGCCTTGCGGATGAGACAATCTAGTTTGGTGCGTGTTCAGTCGCCTGCCACTGGAGGTAGGAGGCGACGTACGTTATATGGTTCATAGCGGGAAGGCATGTACCGGCGAATGGTGTTGCTTTCCTTCATTCCGCTATGCCGATGTGTTATTTCGTTTTCAGCAACCGGATTGTTTCATTGCACCGCAGCCCTCTAGTCTGCGAACGGTTTCGCCGTTGTGGCCGTTGGCGGACAGGCGCAAGCCCAGTACCCTAATGGTGTTAACTTGTGGGATGACAGCGCCGTCTGATGTGCGTACATTAATTTCTCTATATGCGCACTCGAATGCGGAATCGGCGTTTTTGGGTTTACGGCCCCTGCGCGATGGTCTATAGAGCAGGAGCTCCGATTTAGCTGCGGAACATTCGAGGCCAGTGTCGCGAAGGTAGTCCTGCACCACGTCGACGGCTTCCTGCAGCGTTTGCTCTACGTGGCCGTCATTTCCCTCGGCAACCCAGAGGTTGATATCATCGGCGTACAAGCTATGGTGGAGGCCTTCTATCTCAGCGAGTTTTCATGGTAATCCGACAAGCACGAGGTTAAAGAGCATGGGCGAGATTACGGAGCCCTGCGGCGTGCCCGTACAACCCATGTATATGTCCTGCTATTCTAGTTCGCCGATCGCTAATCGGGCCCGGCGGCCCGTAAGAAAATCCCGTACGTAGTGGTACGTTCTCTCGCCAAGTCCCAACGCTCGTATACTTTCAAGTATCACAGCATGGCTAACGTTGTCGAACGCCTTTTTGAGGTCGAGCCCGAGTATCGCTTTGGTGGATCGTGTGGGATTGTCCACGATATCGTGCTTGAGTTGAAGCATAACGTCCTGTGTGGAAAGGTTACGACGGAACCCCAGCATCGTGTGTGGGAGCATGTTTCGGTCCTCGAGGTAGTTGGTAGGCGAGCGAG